TATATTATATAATACATTGAACAATTAATGATTAATGTGTAACTATATTATATGTATAATGTGTATATATGTTCAAAGGGATTATACCATATATTTAATAAAATAAATACAAATAAAGTCAAATTTGGTTATTAAATTACAGATATTGAAAATGATTATAAAATATATAATATAACCTTCCATTTCAGATTACTTTTTTTGTGAAACTGTAATGCTGAAAATGCTGTAGTTGTGTATGTGTATCATAATAAATTTTTAATTATTTTGCTTTTTTTCAGCATTGCTTCCTTGGCACAAAATTATTTCGAAATACGTTCGTATTTAATATTTATAGAAACATTATCGATTCGTATCCGCATAATACATTTTTATCCGCTTGTATATAGTGTACATAATAGAAATCACCCGCTAAATATAAATAAATATACTGTGGCTACTATTAAAACATCATCTTAATTCTGTCACTTTAACTTATATGTACAAAAAACGAACGTGAATCAAAATTTATAATAAAAAATTTAATTTTACTACTCATTATTCATACATTAAGTTGAACTGTTATGTGTAATTGTAGGTAGGATAAATAGCACTTAAACTTCACCGTAATATTCGTTTCGTTAAGCTTTTCTTAGTGCACCGAATAGCGTAGTTCTGCTGTAAGCACAATTGCTTAATATTTTGCCGCCTAATTTCCAATTTGATGAATTTCGGTTGTTTTTATATTTTTACTTTGCCTACCTGTTGTCTTTTAAACTAGGTATCTTTTAAAATATGATTATATACAATTTATTCACTGTAGGCCAAAATGTCGGTAAAAATTAATAAACAAAATTAATACATATTATAACACTAGAACGGGTTTTACTTTATTTTTCTTGTCTGTGGATTTCTTTTAGTCCTTTTAACCGTATATTTTTTTTTTCATTGTGTTACTCACGACGTTGCAGGGACGTTTTGGGAATTATATCGTCAAAAACCTTACTTAAATTATACAATTTGTAAACATCTGACGGTGGTGACTTGGCTGTGTGGGACTCATCGACCGGTTTTCGTGACGGTTTTATAGCCTCCTTAGCCCTTAACATTCCGTACACGACACGATATAAAMGTTTGTTTTTTTTGTGTGACTGGTGTTATTTATAACCGTGGTGTACTCTTGTCTCATTGTCTGTTTAGGGCTATACACACGAGTTTTGTACTACAACTACTACGTATATTGTTAGGCAGTGGCGCCGAGAACATGATTCAAGTCTGGCAACGACCAGACCTAATTTAGGGGGTGGGTGTCTGGTGGTAGGTGGTAAAATTATAAAAATGTATAGGTATGAATAATGAATATCATAATATTATATAGGCTAGACATGTTACCATTATTTAGATGATTCAAGAATACTTATCAAGTAAAAAAAAAAAATGTGAATTATGATTATTTTACCACCTCAACTTTAATGATGTTGTTCTGGACCGTCAATGTTACCTAAATTTCTCTCTATAACATCTCAACCAGTAATACATCCTAGTCTTCCTAATTATATTCACGAGTCACTGCAACCATCTTATTCAGATACTTTTAATAATTACATTAAGTAACCAAATGTAGGTACTTATTAGAAGTTTTCTAATTTGAAACATATTATACAAATACATTTTATTTTAAGAATATTTTGTTAAATTTATTTAAGAATTTTTCAATTTCTCATTATATATAATCTAAAAGACCRGCGTATTTTAGATTCTGAACGAAGTGATGAATGTATTGATTTTACAATGATGTGTGATGTGTGTTTTTTAACTAGTCGAAATAATGCTTCGATTTCAAACTT